CACGGTCGTAGTCGCTCCTCTGTTTCCGTTAGCAGTCGAGTAATCACAAGTTTGCAAGCCGACATTGTGCGTGATCGAGACTGAGTAGCAACAGTGCGAGGAGGTGGATAATGTCGCTGTCACAAGTAGCAAGTCAACTGTTCATCCATCGAAGTAGGCGTTACTGTCTAGGTAGGCGTGTTCATATCAAAGTGGGCGTTACTGCCAAGGTAGGCGTGTTCACATCACGTCCGAAGGTCACCAATGTGGGGAGAGTAGTTACAGACCATGTCAACCGTCATCTATGAAAAGGTACCCCGACATAGAGTCGAGTTAACATGTCTTATATACTAGTGAATTGTAGTTGTAATTTTGCAGTGGTAGATACGCTACAAGTAGCTTCCGACTAGCAATGTACACTTATCAAATTCTAACTGATGCAATTTTACTAAAAGGAATATATAAACTTATAAAAGGTTGAGACAGTTAAAAATGTGTTCAATTTCATTAGGTTTTAAAATCAGGCAAATATTTGCAATTGCATGATACCATAGTTCATTTTAACACCATATCTCTCATCCCTAAAGCAGAAAGTGCTGAAAATTGAGATGCAAGTAGCAAAACAATTTAAATCTTATATGTGTTTATCTTAAGTTTTTATTCCCATTCATTATGAGTACATAAATTTATATTCAAATAATTAAGGTTACTTTTTGCAATTTTAGTTTGAAAAATGAACTTACTATTCAGAAGATGGTTTTTAATTACTGAGAGTTAAAAAATTTTGGCAGTATCTGCAAAATAGTGGCAATTATAAGTATCTTTTTAGAACTTTAGTAATAATTCTGTCTCTGGGCTTTCCATTTTTGTAATTACACTATAGGGAAACTTTTATGCCCACATTTCCTTGATTTTCTCAACTATTAGGTAATAAAGAAAGGATGCACAACCATTTTAAGATAGTGGGTCACAGAAACTACAAAATACATTGAAGGCCAACATTAATATGCTGTAATCATAAAAATACAGGAAATATTTAGGATCTCTTTAAAAGTAATGTGAATGAGTTTAAAATATACTACATATTTTTTGCTTGTGTTAAGATAATAAAAATACTTAATGCAAATAAATTTAAACAGACATCCTTACATATTTAAACAAACATTACAAAGCAAATTATTGTAAATTTATAGGCATACAACAAAAAAGGTAATTTAAATTTACATTTATACCAAAGTCAACATTCACTATTATTCAGAAAACATAATTTCTTACTAATACAGTAGAACAATATCATAGCTGTTCATAGAATTTTTAAATTAGAATTTTTATTTTATCTTATTGATTTGTGAAATTTTATTTAATTTAATTCATTTGTAAAAATTTAAGTAATTACATTTTACAGCAAAATTTGAATCCTTTGCCTAAATAAAATTTTCATAGCAAAATGGTCACAATCTGACGCCTTCAGAAAGACTAAACTAGATCAGCAACTTTCTGCTACAGAACGTGACTGAAAAAAAAAATTTACTTTTTTTCTTTTTATTAATATTTTAGACAGTTCAGGAACATTTGTTTCTGTGCTTTTTTATGGATTAAAGGGCCAGTTTTAGCCAAAGAGTCATAAGTTGAGCATCCAGGGCCGGATTATACCTTTCGTAGGCCCTAGGCACAGAGCCGGATTATACCTTTCGTAGGCCCTAGGCATAGCCGTNGCATCCCATCACTGATATTTTTATTTTAACAAATAAAAAGAAAATATATTTAGATTAATCATTATACATTTTTTCTTACCTAACCCCCTCCAAATCACTATAATACTACTGAGTTAGAGAAGAAAAACAAATATATTCTATATTTAACAATTATAATCCTGGTAGCAAAATCGGCATAGTAAATTTGCACTATCTCCAAAAATTTAAATTTGGATATGGCTTCAATGCAATATGACATAGGTTATTTTTTTTTAAAAACTAAGCTTAATTGCACATACATATTTATCATAACTTGCAACTATTAAATTTAATTAAGTATATATAAGAACTTTATTACTGCTTTACTTTACTTTGAATTTTATACTATCATACAATAATCATTTTTGCTAAAAGGAGAAAAAACATATGTATAAACAAAGCTCAATAAAGGAATCATAAAAAAAGGATGAGCTCTCGCAAATGATACCAAAATAAAATCTTTTGATTTTAGGGGGGGAAATGAATGGAATTGTAATTTATAATGTTTTGATTGGTGTCTATTTAAAGTTTCTTCAAATGAAATTCATTACCATACCAGACAAATAAAACAATAACTAGAAAAATGAACATTAAATGTCTTTCCTTGGTATCCAAGTAAAAAAAATTTAAAACTATTCCATATTTTTAATAAATGAATCGATAAAATTGTTTTCTTTTTCAAAGATAGTAAAAATCTTAAATTTTTTATTCATTCTCAGTATTTATTCGAGCAATAGCTCTGTGAATTTCTGCTACTGGGCTATTAATAAAAATATATTTATATTGTTCAAAATACTATGTACTTGAATTTCAAATATAATATAAATAAAGTTAAGAATTTTCCATATTCTTCAAAAACAAATAAAAACTAAAGAACATAACTTTTAACTTCTGAGCTTTAATGATTATTTTAAAACATAACAATCAGTGGCTATTGATCAAAATTATGCTACACAACAAAGGTTTAACATGTAGGTTTTATAAATTTACTCATGAATAAAAGAAATATTCTTCTCAAAAATCGGAAAAATGATTTTTAATGAAACATAATTTATTAAGTCACATCAGCCATACAGTCAGTTATTTTATATCTTACTTGGGATTAAAAAAAAAAAAACTAATATTTACAGGAAGCTTAATTTTTAAAAATTTAATATAAATTTTAAATAAGTTAACAAAAAGCAAAACAAAAACATTTTTAGTATAGGGAATAGCTTTTACAAAAAAAAAAATCCAATTTACTAATCATTCTAATTAAATAAATAAATAAAAAAGAGTTAAACCATGTTGCAGCAAAATTTCATGAAAAATAATATAAAAATAACATAAACATAAGATTCAGTGGCTAAAAATCAGTCAGTATACAAATAAAAAATCAACAGAGGGCATGAAGGTGTTTTTTAATGTGGATTAACAGTTGACACAAATTAAATCTTTATAATAACTTTGTCATTGCAAACTTAGACTTTATAAAAGGTTTAAAAATTTATATCGGAAAATATTAATGATTAGTAATAGATAAAACATAAGAATAACACTATCCTTTTAATAAAACTAAAATAATTTATACCGATATACAAGGACTTATTGCATAAAGAACTGTAAAATACCAATAACATGTCATATAGTTTTGTTTATCGTAGTTTCATTTTGTAAGAAGCGAGGTAGGGAAATCTAAGAACACCATTGAGTTTGGAAAAAATAAATATAGCGTTCCATACACACTATTTCAGTTTGTACTTATACAGGATAAGAATTTTAAACACGAATATAAATAAATTTCAAACACCGTATTACTAATTTGAAAGAAAAAATAGGCAATTGATATTCAGAATCAAAACAAACACTCACTCAATTATTGTTGAGCAAGTCCTCTAAAATCAAGCAAGAAATTTTCATAGTCCGAAAATTGAACCATAACTGGCACATCCATGTACGGTTATTTGACTAGAACTTTAATATTTAAGTTAAAAGAGATAATATACAGTAAAAGAATCCTACATTTGGACTCAACACACTTTACAGATGTGTCAAGGAGACAAAACCAAAACCGCAAGTCCCCTGCAATGAAGTTGAAGTATATGTCCCTCCCTGACATTTTGTTAATATTGATAAAGGGCTATTCTCACTGCATGTGAAAAATTCGTAGATGTAAATTCAGAGATCCAATCGGAACCTGAATGGGGAATTGTTCGCCATTAAATATTTCTCCACATCTCTACCAATTCTTTTTCTCAGAATTCAGCATTTACTGATATCTTAAACTTGTGTTTCGTCCCGCAGTGGGCTGATCGTTAGAGCAGATCACCGAAGTCAGTGTGCGGGTGGGTGACCACTTGGCTTAGTCTGCGTAGGGACCGAGGGTGTGCGGTATGGGTTCTCGTTAAACTGTTCTACCGTAAAGTGCTCGACTTCACGTGCAGGTCGTCGGGCTACCGAAGCGGGGGTGCCATCCCCACTGCAGAGGATCAAAATTGTGATGGCATGTCTTCGGATCATCCTCAGGGATGTTTCCCAGACCGTCGCCAATAGCCCATTGTGCAGCTCTAGTGTGACGTAAATTAACTACAGCTACACCAACAACTTGTCTTTCATTCCACGGTCCATGGAGACTGGTAGAACCCTTTACAAATTCCTCCAAGCCACAAACCGGTTTGACTCTTCACTACAACCTTCTGCTATCTATTTAGCCCCAACCGTATACTTCATTAATGAAAATAGAGAGCTATAAGTTAATGCAAGAGTACGTCGCACTTTTCTACCATTCCACAACTAAAAACANTAGTAAATATATTTTATTCTATATATTTATTGCTGCCTTTTCTCTATATATTATTAAATGCTCGTTAAATACTATTACAAAGGATTGCATAAACATATTTAAATTTAAAAATCATTCTCTATTCGGGTTTCCTCTGGTAATCCACCAGTCATTGCACATTTTGACATCAAATAAAGATTTTCGTTAGTCAAATATTTTAAAGAAATGATCATTCAACTCTTAAGGAGGTATAAATTTCTAGTGAAAAGGCAGATAATAAATATTTTGAATAAAGTATAGTCACATACCCTTTATGTAATCCTTGATTAGTTTTGGATAAATTTGAAGTAGTCACATTTTTGAAATGCCATTTCTCGCCATTTTCTATCGCGTAGTCATCTGACTAAGAAGGACAAGGAGGAGGCGTTACTCATTATGATTAGTATACTGCGCATGCTTGAAAACATGCCTTGAGGGATCATCCTGTTTCCTGAGGATTCACAGGCATCCTCACGCTATACACTACCTTATTTTTTTTAATTAGTATGAAGAAAACTATGTCTGTTATTTGAAAGTTGTTTGATGTCATTAAGCTCAAAATGGCTGGATATCGAGGAGGTCACATACTTAGGATAAAACTAAAAAATTTCATGTGAGTATTAAATTAAGTTTTTCCCTAAAGAGAATTTTTTTTATTTTTTATAACTGGGGCTGATTGTGTAAGTCTTAATGTTGTGAAAATTGTGCCCGATTTTATTTAGGTGAAAATCTTTGTTTCTTTCCTCTGGGAATAAGTAGTTTTAAATGAATTTTTGGAATTGGAAGATCTCCTTATAGTAGGCCGAATAATCTCCAAATCTTGACAACACAAAATACTTGCTCCTCGAAAAACTAAAAAAAAAAACATTACAATGATGGGGGAAGGGTATAGTTCCTGGGAGTATATCTCCTCTGAAATTGTAAGACTTAAAAGGGTTTAAATCTTATAAAAGCAATTCGAAAAAAATATCTCCTTTTGAAACCAAAAGAATCATAAAATTTTGTTCTTCTAGATAGGGGAGATGATGCACATCATTTTAAAATGTATTTTTGAAGCACTTGAACAGCGCAGTTATGCTGTTAACTGTAATTAAAAGGGATATGGGAAGGCAATATTTCTGTATTGTTCTGTAGCTGCAATCGCCAAGGTGCTTAATAGATTTTAAACATACAAATTATTTTGAAAAAGAAGTTTAGAGGTTTGCCCTAGTGTGACTATGGGTTATATCATTTAAGTTGGTCCCTTTCTGTGTTTTTTTGTTTTAATTTCATGTTTGCTGCCCAGAAATTGCCAAGGCTCAGAGATTTTAATGCTGCAGTTCAAGAGACCATGATATTCCTCATAGAAAAGATAACCATATCTAGATCTACTCCAAAATTATCACCAAGTTTTGGCACTTTAAAAACCTTCACATTTTTTTAAAATTAATAAAGTTTAAAATCTTTTGGCAATTATAGTGGGCCATTGCCTATTTCTGCCATAAAAATTTTGTGTTTTTACAAAATTTATGGTTTGACTGGGGGTGGTAATGGTTTTTTTGGAGCCACGATGTCTCAGGGGACAGAGCCTTTGCCTTCCAATGATGTGAACCGGGGTTCGATCCTGGAGATGGCTGGTTGATACGAATTCCGCATCAGGCTTGGACTGACCACAGTGCTGATGTGAAATGTCCTCAGTAGTAGTCAGATCATGGGTTACAGTCTCCTTGCCATCAGGCTAACCATGGGAAGTTCTTGTTGTCTTCCTCTCCACGTAACGCAAATGCAGGTTAGTTCCATCAAAATGTCCTCCACGAAGGCAAATTTCTCCCAGTACTTGATCCAGAGTTCCCTTGTTTTCTGGATTGGGTTTAAAATTACAAGGCTACAGAGTTATACATTAGTAGTCGTAAACTTGAAATTTGGGTTGGCTGTTGAACGACGGTTATAAAATAAAATATATAAAATAGTATTTTTATGTTTCTTACATGTTACAGTTGTCACCATAACTTTAAAAAAATTTTGTCACATGTGTCAATATGAAAATTTTTCCTAAATTTCTTACTATTTTATTTTTGTAAAGAATGAAATTATAATTACTTATTTTTTGTAAACAGACAAACTCTTAATTAGATTTTAGTTGTACTTTTTTAACCTATTTCTTATCTTTGTGTCAACTAATTTAATCATTATAATTGATAGTAATGAAGATCAATTAGTTTGCATTCTAAGCATAGAGATTTAGTCTTGTATTAATATTTGACAAAATAAAGAACTGTTTGGCCTAAATACTATTTTTGTTGAATTGGTTGATCCTGGATCCTGGTTGGAATTGAAGATCCTGATTTTACGACAGCAAATTACTGCCGGGGCTCATTCAAGTCAAGATTTGTGAGTGGAAGTGAAGTTGATTGCAAAGTATCTGTCCTGTATGCCCATTGAACCTGATTATTTGAATAGATATACTAAAAAAAGAAGATTCTAAATTCTCGTGTTAACTTACCTGTAAATCTATGTCTATGTTTTTATTGTTTCTTTCGCAGTTATTTATAATTTTTTCCACATGGATTTCAAATGCTGATATTTTATTTCATCGCAGTATTACATCATGCTCATGCATCATGTCTAAAATTTGGGTTATTACTTTTTGAAGTATTTGATTCACAGCAATTTTATTGTAAATTCATGTCATTTTCAGATTTTTTTTAGCCATTTCAGCATAGTATTTCGATATTTCTAATTAATACGATTTTATTACTACATTCTAACTTCAGAATTGGGGAATAATTGTTAACAATTTATTTAAAAAATCACTCGCATTTTATTCCATTAGGATTGTTACTAGCAAAATTTTGTCTAGGTTCAGATTGATGTTTTTGAGGTATTTGACTATTGCCGAAAAGAAGTTTTAAATATGGTGGTTAAAGCTGCTTTAGAGTGTCAATTATCAAAAACTTGCCTGTACTGTCTTTGCAAAAATGAAAAAGAGGAAAATCTGAAAAGAGATAAAAAGGATTGCCTAGATAAGGATTTAAATTTTGCCGTTCTCAAGGAAAAGAAAAAAACTGGGGATCAGTTTAAGAAAGAGCCATTACTAAGAAATATGTTTGAAGAAGACTTGTCTATGCTATACTGTTACTGGTAATGAATAATCCTTCTTAATGCAAGTTTTTCAAGGATTATTATAATTTATACTTAACTCACTTTAATTTTGACAATTTAGGTAATTTTCTCGTGACCTTTATTCTTGAAATGGCAAGTGCATATTTCAGAAATGGCATCAAGTAATTTTCACAACTGATGTCATTTTTGAAGTATGCATGTTTCTATTTCATAGTCTTCATAGTCTTGACAGAATATTCAATAACAGGCAACATTTTTTTTTATCAAAAAAATCATCACTAAATATTTTATATATATAAATAAGTTTAGTCATTATTGAAAAATAATCAAAACTTAGCTGCTTAGCTGATTTGTAATTTCAGAATTAATGCTTGAATAGCATCAAGTCTTAATAATATTTGTTATTGTCTCTCAGGTAGGTATATGTTTATATTTTGCTAACAACAAGAATCTTTTGTATTAGCTACTAAGTTTTAAAAGATTCTATAATTATTTCGTTGGTTTACTTTTTGAGAATGTGGTATTGTGATAATGTTCTACTACTTATCATGAACATTAGCTATTTATTATTTTTAATAATAGGTTATATTCTTTTGATTTCTTTTTAAATCAAAAATAAATTTAATGTCCTTTTTTCATTTTCCTGGTTTGTTCAAGGTAGTAGTTCTTAAAAGATCTCTTGTAAGTCAATCTCTTCATTCCTTTTATCAATCAAACATTCTCTTTTTCCTAGGCAGATTTTGTCTGATCATGTATGATTAATTATATAATTATTATTTCCTGTGTTTGTTCAGTAAAGTTTAATTTTCGCTCTTTTTGTTCTGGATTTTTCAAGGAAAGGTTGATTCGCATTTAAGGCGAGTCTGCTTTGCCGTACTGGCAGCTCTTTACCTAAACTTAATCCTAGATTTGTAAGCTAATTTTCTTTTAATTTTAAATAATCTTCAAGTAAAATAATGTTTTATAATGATATTATTTATTATAATTTATTATGATAAAAAATGCAAAATTTTTAGGTATTAAGATTAATTTTGTAATGGTGATCTTACTTTTTGTTTAATATTTATTGGTTTTGTATTTATCCTGCTTTAAATATAATTTAAATTTACTTCTTATTAACTGAATATATTTTTAAGTTAATTAAAATTTTAATTAAGTCCTGAAAAAAATGCAGAAGTTTTAATAATTGTTAATGTTTTGATTTTTGTTGCTTAAAAGAAGTGTTAAGTAAAAGTTATTTATAAAATTCATGTACCTGAACAAAGATTTGACTAAAGTTATTGCTAAGTTCTTTGTAGGAAAGTTATATTATGCAAAAGTTTAAAGAAAAAAAGATTGTTTGTTAAAATTTGTGAGTTGTGAAGTTAACAAAATTATAGTCAAAGAGCAAAATAGTTAGCTAGTTATAGTTACCAAGTGGGGCTGGGCAAGAGGAGATATCTGTCTCCTGGCTCCTTCCTTCGATGGGTGTCAAATTCATGAAAAATAATTAAAATTAAATTCTAGAGTAAAGTGCCTTTCTCTTTCAAATAGCTCCAGTTTCATTTTCTTGTTGTGGGCTCTGTAACTTTTTCAAATTTTTATTTAATTTTCCTAAAAGTTAAACAAGATGTCTAATACTGTAGTTTGTATTGCACATAGTTTTTTTAAAATTATTCCTTTTAACAAATTTGCAATATGTTGCGTAAAAAATGTCTTGCAAAAAAATGCCTACCGCAAAAACTTTTTTGTGTAATAGAAACTTCATTCCATGCACAGTTAAATTTTAAAATGAACGAAATGAAAATTTATGAAGTTACTTAATTGTTATTCAAAGTTGGTAAATCTTATTTATAGTAAAAAGGAAAAGAAAAACAATACCAAGTGCGATTGATTTAAGTTTTCACATTGTCCAACATGTAAAGTGTTTGAAAAAAGCATCTTTTCAAGTCTTAAACCATATTTAAAGGGGCGTAAAAACTGAGTTTGTGTTTGGGTGCTATAAGCCCTAGCTGCTATGTCTCTGGAAGACAATATTGAATTGAATTTTCAACATTGAAGTTTATGTATTTATAAATTACTATAATAATTAATTAACTTAAAGTAATTACTTAAAGGTGAATTAAGCTCACAAATCATTTCTAATTCTAAATACATGCTTTTTTCTCCTTTTTTTTATTTCCTACTCCTATTCTACATTAAATTTTTACTTATTCCAAATTTTTCTCTAATTACTCTCTTAAAAAATATGTTCACCGTAATCAAGCTACAGTCAGTGACCAGTTGATTGTCCACTTTGATCAGCACGCAAAGGGACCAAGGTGGTTTGGGTCGTCGTTAAACTGTTCTACTGTAAAGTGTTCAAACTAAATTTTATGGCATGTCTTCGAATTATTCTCTCGGATGTTTCCCAGAATGTGGCCGTCCATTGTTTAGCTGTAAGTCTACGTAAATAAAGTACTACTCAAAATATGCTAAGCACTTTTTGGATAATCATTTAGTAAGTTGGTAGTGACAGCAATGTTATGTGTCACTATCAATGTTAATTTCTTGTAAACTTTAACAAATTTAGTTGCAATATAGATAATAAATGATAGAATCTTTTATTTTTGTTTTATTTTTATATTGCTTATGTCCTTCACCAATGATGTGATCTAAATTTCTTGAAATATAAAAAGGTGAGAAGGTATTTTATTTTTGTTTTGTATTTTCTGGCTGGGTCACAGAATAGAGTTAATTATTTTTTATTGTTTGTGTATTTATTTAGAGTTATTTTGAGGAATTATTATTTTTGGTATCAATTTTAAACAATGATTCATTGGGTTACTGTGAAACAATTAGTAATATAGCATTGCTAAAATTTATTTATCATTTATTTATTAAATTATTAATTATTTACTTATTAAATTATTTATTTATTATGTGCCTTAGTTAAGTTTTATTTTGATTTGAAAAAAAAATTTACTGTTTGTTATTTTGTTTCTCAATGGCTCTCTTAATTACTTTATAAGTTTACCTTTTTATTTAAAATAATCTCCAACTTAAATACTAACAACCATTACATATATTTAATGTCATGATATGAGTAATTCTTCTTTATAGTATAGTTAATTATAGCTGCACTGGCTGTAAGCAAATTAAAAACTTGGACTGCTTGTCATTTTCTCCTAACATATATATTACAACAACTTTGAAGTCCAAGGAATTTCTAAATATATATTTACATATTTCAAAAATGGCATCACGTCTTGCTAATATCTGATGCCATTTTTGAGCTATGTAAATTTATATTGTATGTACTACCATCAAGCTTCATCACTTTATCAGACATATATTTAATTTTTATAGGGAATACAATGTATTTGTTCTTTCATATTTAATCATTTTTATTTTGCTTATGTATAAATAATTCTTTTTGGAAAAATTTTAAAGGACCTATGATGAATTAGAATTATTTCCTAAACATGGACTTAATCTGGTTGTTGGTGTAAATGGAAGCGGCAAGTCATCTATAATGTGTGCGATTTGCTTAGGCCTTGCAGGGAAACCTCAATTCACTGGTCGATCTGCTCAATTGTCAGAATACATAAAATATGGCTGTGATAAAGCTACTATAGAAATTGAACTGTAAGTATATTTAAAAATTTTCTATTTAATATCATGCAGTCATAATAGCTCTAAACCAGCTCAAGGTCTGCAGTGATAAAGTTGAACTCTTTATATTTAAACATTTAGAATCTGTTCAAGTGCAGAGTTCATAGTTGTCGTGATAGTCCTAATATAAAGTAATTTGCCTTGATTTTTAACTTTTGGTATTGAGAATTGGTCATTGGATAAAATGTATTGAAACAAATGGAACATATTTGGATTAAATAAACAGATTTTTTTAAAGAAAAAATATGCAGCTTTATCTATTTACTTTATCCAAAATTTCATTCACACCAACTTAATACTTACCAATTTTTTATGTTGGTGACAACTCAGAAAAGCAATTTTGTTCACATTTGAATGTATGAAATTGTAGATAAATGAGATTCACTAGCATAAGTGTCCACTTAACTTTCATTTAATAAATAATTGTCATCAAGCTTATTTTTTTTAATTTTAATAGTTACTTTTAAGTACTTATTGGACAGTCTTAAGGCCATTCATCTCACAATTAAATCGCACATATTTTAAGTGTGATTTAATTACATAAAACAGGGTGCGTAGCGTTTGTAAAAAGTACTTTAAGGTGCTTTTTTGGGGATTTCGTTTTTAGAAGCTTTTAAAGGTGCTTTTTTTCAGCTGGCGTTTTTAAAAAGTGCTTTTTTTCTGAAATGTTTTTTCCCCCTTCAGTGATATCTGGTGGATCCCATGCATTTCACGAAAAATGGGGAGTTTGCTACGTAATCGTTCACGCGGACTTCATGTCGTACCCACGTTATGACTTGCGCATGCGCGCACACTTGAAACCGAAACCCGAGTGCTTCAATTCAGATAGAGAATATTTATATTATATATATTAATTTTGTTCTTGTGTATTTTATTTTACTTCTAACACTTTTTTTGACGTAGGGGGTAAGGGTACTTTTGTTCTGAGTTCAGGGTCAAGTTGAATTCACTCGGTGATGTGGGAAAGTACTGATTGTTTCGATTTACGCCCGTTTCTTTTTGGG